TATCCAGTGCCAGAGAAACCCATGTGTCCAAGATTCACTTACAGGGCTTCATGCCTGCCATCCCAGCCTTGAACCATTGGAAATCACTATACATCACTGTCAATCCTTGAACATAATTCAACATAATGCTAAGTCGTGAAGCTGAAGAGATCTGAAAGGTACATATCATTGTAAGGTACATATCATATCATATCATATCATTGTACATCACTGTAAATGATATGACGATTTCTGCTTGATAAACCGTATGTTTCCATGACTTGGTTTCACTGCTGGTTTCCATCAGGACTTGCTGGCTCAACCCAGTGGCGTGGCAGAGGCTGAGGTCTTCCCGGTCTTCCCATGCCATGGGATCCAGAAATGTCCAGATATTTAGCCCTCGGAAATTCGTGGTCTGGAATATCCATGATTGTCCATGAATATTTGGATTCTATCCAGGATCCAGAGATTTTCAGGATATGTCCAAACGTTCGGAATGATATTTGCTCCAATTCTTCACCAGACCTCCAACAGAACAAGGCTGCAGCATCAGGCTTGGTACGAACTCATTGCAGACGAGATGACTCTCCCCCTGACGGTCAATAGCCTCGTGAAAGCATGTGCCAAGGTGGCGGTGCTTGGTACGGTCGGGGCATCACCAGGAGACAATGGGTTAGAATTCACCTATTTGCATCTATTAGACCATATTAGATTCTATTAGATCCTATTAGCCTATGATACTCGTACAAAGGATCCCTCTATATCATTCTATATCCCTCTGACTCGGCTGCTCATGTCATCTTATGTCATCTTATGTCATCTTATGTTTTTTCAAACTTATATGCTCTGGAGCAAGAGGGAAGCAAGCTCTTTTGCATGTCTCCTGTTCACTCGGACTTCCATGGCATTCCATGGCAAAGGAGAGAATTCGGTGACGACTAATACGACTAATTCGGCAAAGCCAATAATAAATCATCCCCAGAATATCCCAGAATCACCATTTTCATGGGTGGTAGAGATGGTATAAACCATCTCCAAATGGATGAACCTTTCCAGGCAGGCCGGCTCCAGCGCGCTTTCCACTGGTCAGAGGCTGGCTTTGGTGAACCAAAGCGCCGGAGTAGATGGCGATGGCCTATTTTGATATAAAATGATGATAAACCAATATAACAAAATTCAGGATTGATTTTGATGGATTTGGGGTTCAGGAGGCTTGAGACTTGATCCTCTTCTCAAGCATCAGCCAGTTGGGTGTCCCTAGCCCCCAAACATCCCAAATTGCAGATCATTTTCCTAGGTAAACCATGGATCTTTGTGTATGACTGGTGGGTGGGTTACTCCCCAAAACTCCCAGGGATCACTTCACGCACCAGGTCCTGCAAGACAGTGGCAGTGTTTTAACAGAGGCAACCTGATGCCACCCAGCCATGGCAATCCTGGGATTGGGCAGAGCTTGGTTGGCCAACCTGACAGCGATTCTCTACGCCAATTCTTATGGTGTTTCAATGTGTTTCATATTCAATGAATTGGACATTTGAAAGATCTTTAAGAAAGATAAGAAAGGTCTCCATGATCTGAGTGTCATGTGGCAAAGACATTCCAACATGAAACATATGAAACCCTGTGGCATAAAGAAAAATTCAAGTCGCATGATCTTCCAACTGTACACTGGACAGTTAATTCTCTTTGTCGGTCAGCTTCTGTGGTGCAAAGCGCAAAGTTGAAAGGAAGCGGTGTGGAGTTTGCTCTACGAGTGTGGAAGGCGGGAAGAGCACAGATCAGACATATGTCATATGTTGAGGTTTCATGGGTACCCAAGCACATTCTCCGATCTTTGAAGGCAAGTTGGCAGTGTTACGGTGTTACGACCATTCGAAAGCTGTTTGTGCTGCTAGGCGAAAGAAATATTGTATAACATCCGTTCTTTCGGGTTCTTTGGAAACAATTCGGAAGGTGTCAGGATTTCAGACACAGGGAACCACAAGAGTCTATCCATATGTCTATCCGTTTTTTGCCTTACTATGACCCATTGAGCCATCCTTAAGTGGATGGTATGTTTTCCTTGAACAGGCAAAGCAACTTTGCCATTGCCGTGCTGCCCTCGGCAAAAGCATTCGTAGGAGCATTACAAGAATTGTTGAGACTCAACAGACTGTTACATGTCAAAGAAGTCAGATGATTTGGCAGTAGACATAGAACATAGATTATTAGAAGCGTTCCTCATTGCATTGAGCTTTTGATTTTAACGTCTCATGTCGTGGACCCACAAACTGAATTGTGTTTGATCATCATCAGTCGGCTGAGCTCTGCGCTTGCCATTCACATGATGCGTAAGGAGGCATTGTTGACGCCTGCGGCTCAGTTCTTGAGTAGGCAACTGCTGAACATATCATTGTCAACGGCCATGGAGGATGATGGAAGATATTTCTGCTTTGTGAGTTCCAGTAATCATAGTTCCTTAGTGCCTTGGTTCTTCCCCAAAAATGTGATGATTGGGGCTATAGATGGCTAGAGTAATAGTGGTAGCCTTGATAGCAATAGCAACAGGAATAGCAATAGTAATACTAACGGTGATAACAATAGCAATAGCAATAGTAGTGATGATAGCAATAGCAATAGTAACGAAGATTGTATTTTCTAGCCATAGTGATGATAACAGTATGTAACAGTAAGAAGATCAATGATAATGACTCTCATAATGTCCACCCTGGATTTTTATTTATTTCACCCCAACCGGCTGTTTAATTGGGAGGGTACCATTTAAGTATTACCCTCTGGTAAACTAACATAGCAATGGAAAATCACCATTTTTCATGGGAAAATCCACTATAAATGGCAATTTTCAATAGCTATGTTAGTTCACCAGAGGGTAGATGAAATGACTATTGGAGGAGTACCCCCCTAAAGGCCCTAAACCATCTCCATTTAAGGGACATCCCAGGCACCACACTGTGTTGGCACGGCCCAAGAATCTGGGCGCCTTCCTGGTGAGTTCGGTGGAACTGGGCCGGATGGCCGATGCCAGGTGGAGCTCTCAGTGGGATTCAGGGGATTTCACCAGGATTTCACCAGGATTTCACCAGGATTTAGGGTTTAACCATGGGTTTAACCATGGGTTTAACCATGGGTTTAACCATGGGTTTAACCATCATTTGATGGGATGTGAAGCAACAAAAAGCAGTGATTTCCTGGGCTTTTTTTTACCAACAGGATTTCACCACAATTTGACCATATCCATCAGGGGTTTCATGTGGATTTAACATGATTTAACCATCTAACGTTTAACATATGGGAATACAATTGATATTTGATGGCTGATGGGGACGAACATCCAGGAAACTGGAGAGATACTTAATGATATATAATTTTAGTTGTGCTACAGTTATAGAGTGTACAGGGATATTACCAAGCAATTTTTCTTGGGATATGTGACCAACAACATGATAATCATGATATGGGCTTGGGCAGCCACCCAAACTATATCATTTTATAGCAACGTTAATGGGACCGTGATTTATCAACAATTCGATGTTTGGGTTCCCTATTTACGGAACCAATTGGATTTACATAGGTACTTGAAAATGATTGGGGCCCCAATCCGACACATACGTATATATCCGTATATGTGATCGTAGAATATGTTAGAATACGTATATTAGAATATGTTAGTGTTAACACATCGATTTGGCCGATTTGGCCGATTTGGCCACGGAAAAGGATCAATTTCGGAGCCTGGCAGATTTTTGGGAGACCCAACTCTTGGATTTCCAAGCGAGTCAACCAGGCGGTGGCTGGGTAAAATGGAAGAAATCAGCGAGCAGATCGGAGGTGTCCCGGCGGACTTTGATGCTGATGCTGGTATGTGGGGGTTTCCGTAAATGGGGGATCCCCAAAATGGTGGGTTTATAATGGAAAATCCTATTAACATGGATGATTTTACTCCAAGTTGAGGAAACCCCAGATTTAAATGTACTTAGTAAGTTAGTTGTTACTCATACTGTTTTTAAAGAGCTATGATTCGAGGCCAAGTTTGCATGGGAACCCCAAAGTCCAACAAGTTAGGTCTGATTTATCGCTGGGATGAGAAACGATATGTTCGGCTGTGTCCTGCAAGACATTTGAACACGATCTTCCCAAGATTTGTTGACAGATGGGCACCCATCCTGGGCACGCGGATGGGTGTGCGCAACTATTCGCATTGATCTTTGGAGATTGATACCCTCTGGTAATTTAACATAGCTATTGAAAATGGCCATTTATAGTGAGTTTTCCCATTAAAACCAGTGATTTTCCGTAGCTATGTTAGTTTACCAGAGGGTACCCACCATAGCCCATTGAATGGTCTTAAGCCAGGTGCCGCCAACTTGGACTTTCTCAGCGGCGTGGCCAAAGCAGCCAGCCCTGTCCCGTGCCCAAATTGGGGGGGTTTGGGTCAGATCACATCAGATCGCGGACCGTATGTCTTTCGATTAGAAGCACGATGCGTTTGGTGAATGGATATTGAAAGAAAGAACGTGCTCAATGCAGAATAATGCAGATCTATTCTGCCAAAGATCGGCAAGGTACATCAAGATCATGTGATGTTTACCATAATGTTTACCATAATGTTTACCATGATGTTTACCCAACAATGAAATCAATTAATGTTCAATGAATATCAATAAACCATCCTCAAATCGTAGGTTTTTTTGACGAATATTTGAGGGCCGATACACCTCTGAGGAATTAGCCAAGTCCTGGTGGAGCTACATGCGACGCAAGGCTGTGACACCTCGGCGTTAGGAACTCGGCCGATGTCGGACCTGGAAAATGGATGGAAAACTGGTGATACATCCAGATACCAATAGATGAATATGTATTTATTGGAAATTGACGGAAATCTGTAGTTTGCTTACTGTACCTCAGAAAATACATTGACTCGATTTTGTCTTGCAATTTCCTACAAGTGAGCCAATTGAACCTGTTGGAAACGACCCCCAGGATTCACCCAAATTGCATCTGCACCGGTTGAGGTGAGCATTATGATGCACTCATCAGCGTCCTTCACCCAGTTAGTATCCCTGTCTTTGAAGAGAATTGCTGTGAATTTGCAAGACATTCCAAGACATTCCAAGACCCCAAAACCATCCAAAACCCAAAGATGTGTGGCTGGTTTGAGATACTGAATCATCTAGTCTTGGGATATAAATGGATATGTCATGTTTAGGATCGGGATTGGGTACACTGTTTGGATGTCATGCCGTCATGCCCAAAGAATATCAAAGAATGACCTGTCACACTTCGAGGCTTCTCGCGAAGTCTTCTCGGAAGCACAACGCTGGTGGGAAGCGTTGGACCTGTTGCAAGTTGAACATGTGTCAGGGCCAAAATTTAAGAGGAACGCCAAACATAGAAATCATGTTGGTTAATCATCATGAAATTACCATGTTAGTTAATATTGGTTAATGTTAATGGGAAATTACCATAACATCAAATTTTGATACCTTTATGTCACATGACATGTTTGATGATCAACATTCAAGATGGAGCACTGAAAATGTTGACCGCTTTTTGGCTCCAGACGCTGGATGGAAGAGGGCTTGCTTCTTTGAAGCATCACTGGTGATTTTCCAAGATGCTTGTGCTTCTCAATTCATTGGTTTGCTGGTTGTAGTTCTGACTCTTCCTGTATTTGATAGAAGACGCCCAATTGCAGTGCAAATCAGGATGATCGCAGCAATATTGGCACAGTCAAGAAAAGGAACGAGCCATAATCTTGCGATGAACAGGAGTTCAAATCTGAATAGACTTGTTCAAACTTGTAACTTATTCCTGATCCAAAGTCAACGGCCATTCATGGAGCTCATGGCAACACACCATGGATTGCACATTGCCGTCTGCCACAGGTTCCAACAGCTCATCAATGATGGTTTTACACCCGAGGCGCCGACAGTGTCAGCAAGCTCTACGATTTGGTTTGAATAATTACTCATAATAGTGATTATAATAGATAATTGTTAGGGTGGATAACAATAATTATAATAATCATAATGATCATAATAACAATAATTATAATAATCTACTAGCAGATACTGTAACCTCTATAATCATAATAACATAATTTCTTAACCTCTGATAGTGTCAGATAACCTCTTAATATGTAAGGTATTTAATAATCATAATTTCTCAGCAACCTCTACAAGTCTACAACTATTGATTAATCATAATTACATCAGCATAGACCCCAAACAGCAACAACGGATGTTTCCACCAAGGTCATGTGCAATTCAAAATTCATGGAACTGTCTGGCACACTCCTGTCTTCTGTTTTACTCCTTCATTACTTCAACCGTACAAATTCGAGGCAATAAAAGAGACGCCCCGACGCATCCAGGAATCCACACAGAGTGGAGGTCCTTAATTTTCAGACGAGTCCAAAACTGGTACAAGCTGTTTTCTCTTCAGAACAATAGCGCCAGCACAAGCCCATGTGACTTCCGACTAAAGAGACACAGCTGCCCGTGAAACAAATCGATGAGAATATGGAGGCTTCCATCTGGCTGACGGTTGCTCAACGTCTGAAAATGCAAAAGAATCCAAGAGAATGAAAGGATCTGTGAACATCCATGTCCATCCATTTCAATGCATCTCATGCTCGGTGTCAGCAAGAGTCAGATTGGAAGGGGTGACATGTTCAAGCCAAGCCGTCAAAAGTCGAGAAGAAGGGAGACAAGCACCGGAACCCCAGCCCATAGCAAGAGGAACCAGGAAATCCATGATGAAACAGAACCCCTTTCCTGAGAAAAGAAAGAAGAGAGAAGAAGGGAGACAAGTACCGGAACCCCAGCCGGAACCAGGAGGAACCAGCAAATCATGATGGAACAGAACCCCTTTCCTGAGGAAAGAAAGAAGAGAGAAGCAGGGAGACAAGCACCGGAACCGAAGAAGAGAGAAGAAGGGAGACAAGTACCGGAACCCCAGCCGGAACCAGGAGGAACCAGCAAATCATGATGGAACAGAACCCCTTTCCTGAGGAAAGAGAGAAGAGAGAAGCAGGGAGACAAGCACCGGAACCGAAGACGAGAGAAGAAGGGGAGACAAGTACCGGAACCCCAGCCGGAACCAGGAGGAACCAGCAAATCATGATGGAACAGAACCCCTTTCCTGAGGAAAGAAAGAAGAGAGAAGAAGGGAGACAAGCACCGGAACCAAAGAAGAGAGAAGAAGGGAGACAAGCACCGGAACCAAAGAAGAGAGAATAAGAACACAAGCACCGGAACCCCAGCCAGAACCAGGAGGAACCAGCAAAAAATCATGATGGAACAGAACCCCTTTCCTAAGGAAAGAAAGAAGAGAGAAGCATGGGGACAAGCACCGGAACCCCAGCCGGAACCAAGAGGAACCAGCAAATCATGATGAAACAGAACCCCTTTCCTGAGGAAAGAAAGAAGAGAGAAGCAGGGAGACAAGCACCGGAACCCCAGCCAGAACCAAGAGGAACCAGCAAATCATGATGAAACAGAACCCCTTTCCTGAGGAAAGAAAGAAGAGAGATGAAGGGAGACAAGCACCGGAACCCCAGCCGGAACCAAGAGGAACCAGCAAATCATGATGGAACAGAACCCCTTTCCTGAGGAAAGAAAGAAGAGAGAAGAAGGGAGACAAGCACCAGAACCCCAGCCGGAACCAAGAGGAACCAGCAAATCATGATGGAACAGAACCCCTTTCCTGAGGAAAGAAAGAAGAGAGAAGAAGGGAGACAAGCACCGGAACCAAAGAAGAGAGAAGAAGGTTGACAAGCACCGGAACCCCAGCCGGAACCAGGAGGAACCAGCAAATCATGATGGAACAGAACCCCTTTCCTGAGGAAAGAAAGAAGAGAGAAGCAGGGAGACAAGCACCGGAACCGAAGACGAGAGAAGAAGGGGAGACAAGTACCGGAACCCCAGCCGGAACCAAGAGGAACCAGCAAATCATGATGGAACAGAACCCCTTTGATGAGGAAAGAAAGAAGAGAGAAGAAGGGAGACAAGCACCGGAACCCCAGCCGGACCCGGAAGAACCAGCAAATCATGATGGAACAGAACCTCTTTCCTGAGGAAAGAAAGAAGAGAGAAGAAGGGAGAGAAGCACCGGAACCATAGAAGAGAGAAGAAGGGAGACAAGCACCGGAACCCCAGCCGGAACCAAGAGGAACCAGCAAATCATGATGGAACAGAACCCCTTTCCTGAGGAAAGAAAGAAGAGAGAAGAAGGAAGACAAGCACCGGAAGCCCAGCCGGAACCAGGACAACGCAGCAAATCATGATGGAACAGAACCCCTTTCCTGAGGAAAGAAGGAAGAGAGAAGAAGGGAGAGAAGCACCGGAACCAAAGAAGAGAGAAGAAGGGAGACAAGCACCGGAACCCCAGCCGGAACCAGGAGGAACCAGCAAATCATGATGGAACAGAACCCCTGTCCTGAGGAAAGAAAGAAGAGATAAGAAGAGAGAAGAAGGCTGACAAGCACCGGAACCAAAGAAGAGAGAAGAAGGGAGACAAGCACCGGAACCCCAGCCGGACCCGGAAGAACCAGCAAATCATGATGGAACAGAACCTCTTTCCTGAGGAAAGAAAGAAGAGAGAAGCATGGAGACAAGCACCGGAACCCCAGCCCATAGCAAGAGGAACCAGCAAATCATGATGTAACAGAACCCCTTTCCTGAGGAAAGAAAGAAGACAGTAGAAGGGAGACAAGCACCGGAACCCCAGCCGGAACCAGGAGGAGCCAGCAAATCATGATGCAACCGAACCTCTGTCCTGAGGAAAGAAAGAAGAGAGAAGAAGGGGGACAAGCACCGGAACCAAAGAAGGGAGAAGAAGGGAGACAAGCACGGGAACCCCAGCCGGAACCAAGAGGAACCAGCAAATCATGATGGAACAGACCCCCTTTCCTGAGGAAAGAAAAAGGAGAGAAGAAGGGAGACAAGCACCGGAACCAAAGAAGAGAGAAGAAGGGAGACAAGCACCGGCACCCCAGCCGGAACCAGGACAACCCAGCAAATCATGATGGAACAGAACCCCTTTCCTGAGGAAAGAAAGAAGAGAGAAGAAGGGAGACAAGCACCGGAACCCCAGCCGGAACCAGGAGGAGCCAGCAAATCATGAGGGAACAAAGGCCGTTTCTAGCAAGAATTGAGAACCCCATTCAGCTCAAAGAGCTGTGAGGGGAATAATAGATAATCATCTCCTATAGGACCTCGCGATTTCAAGCGCCCCATCCATCTGGAGGTCAGTTCTTACACGGCTCTGCTGGCCGCCGCTAATGCAGGCAGCGCTGATTTATTGGGCTGACCACATGAATATGGCTATGTAAAATCATCATGATCCACTTTGAGTAGATCAATCATCTCTAAATGGGCCATTTTTGAATTACCAAGTGGATCCAGAGGGCATGATATTGCTGAGGCATCACTTTTCCAAGGTGGGGATATCCTTAAGGTCCTTTTCCTTGCAACCCCCTTGGGTTACTCTGGCATCGCAGATGTGGCAGAAGAACTGCTGCAGCAGATGTTGGACGAAAATCTCAGGCGCTCAGAATTCCACCGCTGTGGTTTCACAATTTCCATCTTCCCACATTGGTCTTGGCAATGAAATTAGCCTGATCGCACATTTCAGAGGGTTGATTTTGGGTTCGGCCGCCCCAGCATTGCATTGGGAATATTGGATTTGATTTTGAAGGATATGTGATATGTTTCAGATTCTCTTGCCTTTGCAAACAAAATATTGCCAGTATTCGCCAATTTTGCGCCTGAAGGCCAAGCAAGAGAACCTACAGTACCTTGGTCCAGGCATGATTGTATGGCGATGTCGCCCACCATGGCAATTTTTGTCCTACCATTTGGTATAGCAACCCCAAAAAGATAGAAAAGTTGGGAACCTAGAACATATTTGGGAAACATAGCCTTTACCATCCTAGAAACAGGTGTTCTATGTTTTTGTGGGTGGTATAGGTTAAATCTGATGTCATCATTTAGAAGTCGGTTTTTCCTACCATTCATATGACCACTTCGAGTTTGGCTGGGAACTCCCTGCCAGGTCATGGCCAAGTCCTCCAACGTGGCGCGAGCCGCTGGAGGGCCCAGAGGTCGCTGATGATTTTGATGGTATTTGATGGGATGTCGAGTCTGGATTTTGAATGCGATTTGAATTGAGTTGATTGGATTCCACACCCATCTGTCACAAGTTCAGACAAGTTCTGCCATTGAAGATTCATCCATGTTGGAGCAGTTTGAGACCGTGGTTTAACCACAAGGGTTACTTTGCCCCTGTACCAAACTGGTCCACTGGTAGTTAACTCAATTTTTCACGAGGTACAGTGGCTGGAGCTCTCCCAAGATGGGACGGCACCTCCTTCAGAGGCCCGGGAAAATGAGTGGATTGTGGATTTGGTTTAGTCCATTTTCAATGATGCCGTAATCAATATCATAAACCCAAAAAACACTTTAAAACTTTAAAACATATTGAAACCAATTGATTACAGGCATCAATCATGTCCTCGTAACATAGTGTAAGATCATGTGTGATGTTTTTTTCCTTGCTGGTTTCAGATCTTTCGATTATAAAATGACTTCGAAGGAGCTAACTTTGTCTACTGAGAGGACTTAAATGTCCTGGTTTCAGGGGTTTGCGGCTCTAATATCAGCCAGCTTAATGGTTCATAAATGATGGTCCAATGGTAAACGTTGAAATACCCTCTGGCAACTGAACATAGCTACAGGCAAATGACAAAGTGGTCTCTTGTTTTCCTAGATTGAGGAATTTAGTTGCGAGAGAGCAAATCTGGAAAGTCGTCTCTTTTCTTCTTTCTGCAAGCTGAATGCAGGATTTCGCAGCATCCATTTGTTTGATTGAAATTATATCAAATCAAATGCAGCATTTAAATGCGGAACTGGGGATCTCACAGAGTTACCTAGATGTTTTAAATGTTGCGTTGAGTTGGGGACGGATGTTTTGCATGAGTCATTTATCAAAGGAAGTTTAGGAGTCTATACTTCCGTGTTACGGAGTTTTCACAGCATTGAAATCAACAGTCACTGAATCACTGCAAGCAACAGTCACTGCAAAGAATAGCCACTGCACAGGGACGACTACTGTAAGGGATGACTTCCTAAATGCTGCGTTTACATGGGAGAATGCACAAAAGGTACGCGGAGGGATGACATTGTCCTCTTCCTGTATGGAAGCCATGGCCCATTTATTAAACATGGTGATCTTCCAGTGATTGTCCATCAAATTTCAGTAAACCACCACTAAATCCCAAATAACATGGTGATTTTACATCGCAAACTGTGAATTTTCCCACCTCTTTTGCTGCGGTCATGCACCACGGGGTGGGATGGAAAGGTGGGCCTTTATGCACAAGAGAGACATATCAACTGTGTTGGTTGGGATAATTATGCCAATATACAATATATATACATACATACATACATACATTCATACATTCATACATTCATACATTCATACATACATACATCCATGCATGCATGCATACATACATCCATCCATGCATGCATGCATGCATGCATACATACATACATTCATACATTCATACATTCATACATACATACATCCATGCATCCATGCATGCATACATACATGCATGCATGCATGCATACATACATACATCCATGCATGCATGCATGCATGCATACATACATACATTCATACATTCATACATTCATACATACATACATCCATCCATGCATGCATACATACATACATACATCCATGCATGCATACATACATACATACATCCATGCATGCATACATACATACATTCATACATTCATACATACATACATCCATGCATGCATGCATACATACATACATTCATACATACATACATACATCCATGCATGCATACATACATACATTCATACATACATACATACATCCATCCATGCATGCATGCATACATACATACATCCATGCATGCATGCATGCATACATACATACATTCATACATTCATACATACATACATCCATGCATGCATACATACATACATACATGCATGCATGCATACATACATACATACATCCATGCATGCATGCATACATACATACATACATCCATGCATGCATGCATACATACATACATACATTCATACATTCATACATACATACATGCATGCATGCATACATACATACATACATTCACATTCATACATACATACATACATCCATGCATGCATGCATGCATGCATGCATACATACATACATACATAAATACATACATAAATATATATATATGTACATAATATAGTTATTATTCATTATATTATATTCGCTAAATGCAACTGGATACCCATAGGTAAATCATCGAACTCAATGGGCCATGGTTTCCATAGCGTGTCGTGCAGGCCAGCTACAACACAGTCATTGGAGCCTTGGTGTCTTGGCAGCTACAAGGCTTGAATCTCATGTTCCCCGCAAGTATGGAGTTGTGTGGATTGTTGTTCCGATTTCTTTGGTGTCATTTGGTGCAAGAAAATTCCAGGGTGAAGTCTATCAGCATGACGTGCAAAGGGATGGTCAAATAGCCATGAGATCACCTGGTAGATTGAAATGTCGGAGAAATCACATTTTGAGTGGATTATTACCAATAGAACCATGATCAACCATCATTAAGTCATTCAATCATTAAATTTAGATATAGATTTCATATGATTTCATCAATTTTCATCATATCACGATGTCAACATCGACCCGAATGGATGAACTCCTTGGTGAGGCTGGCGCGAAGCGCTGGGGGCAAGTGGAGGAGCTTCTGCGAAGCGGAATGATGAGGTGCGGGGGAATGGGAGCAAATATTTTGAAACCACCACAGAACATCATGTTTAGGATTTTTAAGGTGTTTAAAGGTGTGTAAAGGTGTCAACAACATGTGTATCCGTGTAAATATATATATACGTATATATCCCCATGATTGATGTTCAAAAGCCTGATTGGTTACTTAATTGAGTGTGATTCGACCATCATATATCATGCTCTATATACACTATGAAAATTATGGGAATATCATTGATACCTGATGCCGGGTGATGACTAGTTCGGGGATTGTACCAGCCAATCAATGTGTTGGGCATGATCGGTAAGATCATGTTTTGGACCGTTCTTGATCAACCCGGATTGAATGAAATGACAGGGAGTTTTGAACACTGTTGAATTTGGAAGAAACAAGCATCAAAAGCATCAGAAAATGGGAGATCAGCATGAAAATTGTGGGGATTGCGCAGTGATAATCCGATTGGCCGATTGGTGATTACTTCCTAAAATCCTATGACAACCCCCAAATGACTCATGTGTTTGCAAGCCTGAGGCCACTTTTTGGGGTGTCAGGAATAATTGGGTTTGCTGACTGAGGCCAGACATTTTCACATACAACAACATTCTGGCGAAATGTGCCAGGACTGCCCCAGAGAATTCCTTGCGAAACTGCGAAACAAAGAGAGTTGCACTGAGTTGCAAAGCCTGCGAACTGGACCTTGTTGTAGGAGTGCTGATGAGGAGGGTCAGATACTTAGACCCGTCAGTGCTGAGAGGCAGCTGTAGCAGACACACGAATCCTGGTGGCTGACACCGCTTTGTTCTTAGGTGTGACATTCTGGCTTGAGCGCATGAAGGAAGCAGGCTGGATAATGGCAAGTGGCTTTGCAGCTTATCCCATTTGTACCCATTTGCAACTGCCTTCAAGTGTTTCAATGGCTACTAATCAGTGGTACTGGTCCCTTACAGTACCATTCCCTGCTGAGGCCTCTCACCAGATCTAGTGGCGTTCAACACCTTAGTGGACTTTCATGCGCGTCAAGGGAGGGCTCGGGCCGCCTGGATGTCTCCACCCACTGTTAAAAGTGATCTACTTGCTCAGAATCTTCTCGGAAAATTGGATTATTCCCGGTTTAGAACGTTTCAATACGTTTCAAAACGGTTCAAAACGGTTCAAAACGGTTCAATGATGTCCAAAGCCTTTCGCAAGATGAGAAACGCAGAGACGCCGTTGAGCTGGACTTTACCGTTTCTTGGAGATCGAGGTGAAGACGGCCTTCCAGTGGATTGAACGTTTAAAGGAATCAGGCTGCGGGACTGGGCGTTTGCATTGAGTTCATTCTGATTCATTCTGCATCAGTGTTGTGAAGTTTGATCAAAGCGGAGATCTTGGATGATTTGGGGATGTTCGATGAAAGCTGAGCCACCTGGAGGTTTTAGTCCAAATATTCTCTCCTACAGCCCAGTGGCACTGCACTCAGGCGTGGATTGTAGCGCAGAACACACATTAACGAGTCATAACTAATCACTAGTCCTATCCCCCCAATGCCAAACACCATCAAACACCCCCCATTTGGTGGTCCCAAATGTGTGTAAATCCCCTAGTAAACATTACTAAACCAGGCGTTCTCGTGTGTATTTAGGGGGAAAGGATTATTGCTTATATTTGTTCACAGGTGGTGCACCCATCATCAGTCATCTGTTGGTTGGAGGACCATTCCCCCTTAGAGTGTCAGTTTTCCAGCCACGGCTCAACAATTCGCAGCTGGTTCCACAGTTTGTGTGACTGACCAGAAGCAGTTGCCGGGTGAGTCAAGAAGATATCAACTTCCTCAAACTTGATATTATATATATATATATGTAGAAAGCTTTATACAGTGTATATGTAAATCATATATATTAATGCATATTCTGTTATATTAATTATACATTATAAGCCATGGTGATCCATTATGGACCATTGTTATGTGAGGTGACCCATGTATTCCATGGTTTTCGTTGGGCCAAGGTGTTAGCCTTGGCTCGTGCCGGTGACACTGGGGGTGCAGCAAAGTGTTTGAGGCAGCCAAGAGTCACTGCAGGATGTGTCACTGGAAGATGTTGAGACATGTTGAGACGATGTTTTTGTTGAAGACTTAGATTCACGTTTAATGGGATGGTTGTATAATTCTTTAATGACGGTGAGTTGTATATTTGGTTCCATATGTTCCATGTCAGTGATTGTTTAGGATTGTGGAACTATAATAACTATAGTTCCATTTCTATAATTACTATAGTAACTAATTCAGGATAATGTGTTACTATAGTTCCATTTCTCGTTTTTCATTGGCAGAAATTGTGTGGTCCAGTCAGGACCATGATTGGCGATGAGGTCATGCACTTGGCAAAATGATGGCCGGTGGATGGCAACTTATGTGACCATTGGGGGGACGGCTAAGGTTAGAAAATGTGACCACAGATGCACTTTATTGATCTCAGTTGTACTAAAAAATCGTTTTATATCTATAACATCTACATGAATGATCAATTTATCTATGTTTGCTAATTAAAGATATAGAAAGATGGTGAGGAATTGAATCAAGACATAGTTTAGATTCTTTTTGTGAGCTGTTGTACTGCAGATCCAACTTTGGATGCCCAGGTGATGCCAAACGCCGTGGTGTTTTCTGCTGTGCTTCATTGCTACGCCGGAAGTCCTCAGCACATCTTCTGTAAAGAAGCTGACAAAGAGTGGTCGAAACTATATAGGGCTCTTGTGGTTTGAAACCCATCATTCATTGAATTCATTGGGCTATAGAAAAAAATGGAGAAAAAAGGCATGGAACCACTCTTGGGCCGAATAAAACAAGCTGGTTGCTAGTCTGGTGTAGGCAATGTATGGAACCCCGCAATAGTTGGATCACCATCTCCCTAGTCCACCCCCTACTCGTACTGAACGTGGCGCTTATGATATTGAAATGTGATGGATGTGTTTGCTGCGCATGGCGTTTAAACAGCCAAGGTAGGACAGGGCGACGTGGCTGGCGCAGATGCCATGCTCTCCAGGTGCAATGATGGCACTCGTAATTGAAACCTGGGCAGAACAAATTTCCATGGCCGATCTGGGTTTGTTGAAAAATTGAGGTCCCCAATTTATGACCATGTGAACAGGGGAAATGGAGGATAGCCTGCTGGACTCGGAAAATGTGGGGAAAGTGATGATATCAAATATATATATATATATATATATATATATATATGTGTGTGTATACATATATATATATATGTATATGTATATATATAATATATATATATGTATATATCAGTTGGATTTTAGAGATACATATCCCCCTTTTTGGACAAAGCGTGACAAGCCGATCGCCAGGCTGGTGGCTGAGGATGTTGAATTGGATCCTCGTAGCTTTGACATGATCATTCGACTTTGCAATCGTCAAGGCTGGTTGCGATGGGAGACACTCTGGTTTGGGATGGTTGAGATGGGCCAGCTGAGGCCTGGAAAAATGTGAGCTTTGAATACACAGTTCATGTGGATTCATGCATCAAACCTCAATTTTTAATGTGTGTCATCATCATCATCATCATCATCCAACCCCCTGCTCTTTTTTGATATTCGCATTCTGCGACATTTAGCGCTCATCGGGCGCCTGGAGACGAGGAGCTTCGTACGCAGGTGGGACCAAGCGTTTTTTTGGAGTCAGAAGTGATTGGTCAGACGGCAACGTTTGGATCAAGGGAATCAAGGGATGAACCGGAGGACCTCAGAAGTTTTTCTCCATGTCACATGGTTGGAAGTTGGAGTTGTAGATGTCTTATGATTTTTGCATTTTTTTGCTGTGCCCGAAAGATTCCCAGAGCCTGACTCTGTCTAATTACCTCATTCGAAAAGGATCCACTTCAAGGGTTACAACATGTTGCAACTTGAATTGCCAGGCGCCACTGATGCCGGAGATGGCAGAAAAATTAGACTGCTTCGGCCCCTTGCTTCACAGACCAGGGATGCAGTTTCGAGGCACAATAGCACAGCTCAGGCAGCATGACGGCGCAAAATGTTGAGGCAAAGTTGCCAAGAAAAGTCTAGAACAGAAGCATGTTCACCGATGGTTGCTATGATACAGTACTACGCAGGTTGCTGGTTTGGAAGCCGCATATTATTGTCATTGTTCATCTTTAGTTTGTGTGATGAACCCTGTCGGCTCCAAGTGTTGTATTTTTGTGGAGAATGTCTGCCAACCAGAGTAGTCCAGATTCCATCAGATTCCATCAGATTCCATCAGACCGTCCTTACGGACATGAGGTCGCATCCATCAAGAGCTCATGGGAGAGCTGAGTCGAAGGGACCAAATCAGACTCTTTGTTCCTTGGTGGTTTGAAGAAGAGCCAGCAAAAAATAGATGAACATCTATGCATGATTCCATAATATTCTATACAAATACGATCAATCATATATATATATATACATAATTTCTGAGGAAGAGAATCACACATACTGAGATGTTAAATGTGCCATGGTCGAAACTTGAGTGGATTTTAGCTATATTTTTTTGGATGGTCATCAATGAAATGATCAGGATTTCTGCTCCCATTAGAGGCACCAATCCAACCCATGCAACTCGACCATGTCAGATATGCTGCCACAGGCCAAAGAGATGTCGGATGGGTTGCTGGGCAAGCGTTGGCGGGAGAAACTCTCTTGTGCCGTAAATATCTTTGGCCATAAATGGCATAGAATGGGATATTAAGACAAATATATATATATATATACATTGCCGTGTGTTTGTTGCAGTGTATCTAAGATTGGCCAACTACAAAGTTATTGAGTTATTGTGTTCGTGAACTATGCCAAATATGTTATATACCTCCACTGATTGAGGCTCGTGCGGTCAAGGACAGGATATTTGTACCCAAGTGTCGAGAATTCTTTTCATGCCCTCTACGAACTGCAAGAGTCAAGAGGAAATAGCCCCCTTTGGATAGAACATCGATCAACAGAGTTGTTCCACTCAATCAATCTTTGCTCTTCATTATCTCCTCAAGAATATTGTTTTTACATGTCTCAACATGTCTTTGCCAGTCGAAACCCCTAAACATTCAAAAACTAGAGATGGGATTTGATGGGTTCTGGATAAAACTCTGGACCTGAAGAATCCACTCAACCGATCATTTGGCTGTCCTAAATGGGGCACCACATCCTGAGGTACGAGAGAAGATCTCAGAGCAAGAGACTGAAGATTACGAAGTCTTTGCCGGTGCCTACCCGACCTTGCCTCATCGACTTTTACGTGTACAGTCACACATGTTTGGGGTTGGAGCCATTCTCTCTGACTGTACATCTCACCAAGAATCCGACCAGAATAGACCACCCAACATGATCAAGGGTTTTCCATGCTTTTCCTACAAATATGTTGAGGTATGATTTTCAATATGTGCATGAATCAATGGCAATCAAGCAACGAGCCTCAGATGTCCCCCATGATGGTTGTCCAGATGGGTGGCTTGTGCTGCCGTCAGTACGGGATTTGCACAGTACAGTATCAGTATGTGCTTGCCACACATGAGACGTACCACTGTGGAATCAGAAAAGAGTTTGACACCTACCCTCTGGTAAACTAACATAGCCATGGAAAATCCCCATTTTTAATGGGTAAATCAACTATAAATGGTCATTTTCAATAGCTATGTTAAATTATCAGAGGGTACACGGACTTACTTCCATGTTCTTGGAACCGCCAGGGACTATCTGCAGCTCTCCAGAAACCCATGCGCAGATTCTACGTGCAAGGCAACGCTGTGGGCGGAGCCGGTGAAACCAGGATGAGGAATTTCTGGGCTGATGGGTGTTGTCATCCTGCCACAGTTACCAAGGATAAGTTGTTGATGTTGTATGCTGACAGCCCCATCAAGCTTTGAATCACTGTCAAGAGGTCAGAAGACTTTGTTCAGGTGAAGGTCCTGTCTACTTGTAGAGCGACATTTCTCGTGGAGGTATCAAGTATGTTGTCTCATTTCGAAGCCAAAAAGATTCAAAAACTACCATAAACTACCACGCCCCGACAACATAGACTCCAAACAGGGGGGTTGGAAGACAATCATTTCCGGTCATTTCCCCTAGAAAAGCTTTGATTCATGTTTTTTCATGTTTTTTCATCTTAATTCTGGGGGTCTACGTTAGTTGGGGTGGGATCTCAAAGACGTTTCGCTCAAACTTGAGGCAACGAGAGCCAAAAGAGTCAAAAGCACCGAGCGATCACAGCTCCAGGCATGCTTCGGGAGAGGATGCGACGAAACAGCCCACTATACAACCTGATCAATTAATATCAATTGTCCAATCATTTGGCATCATTTAGCCAAGAAGAAATTTCCCTAGAGATGAAAAACACTCCTCTTGGATGAGTTTTGCACTTTTCCAAAGAATGGAAAACTAAAGTAATGTGGAAGGGGTCGTAAATCTGTCGGATAGAACAGCCATTTCTAGTTCTTTGGAAGCTGTAGGAAGCTGCTTTGAACAGAATATGGTCTGTTCTTATGTCACACATGTCGTGTTTTTCTTTCAAATCATGAAGGCTCATTGTCCTACAGAAATAACGAAAAATGCTGAATCGTGCCGATGTCTGATCATGACCAGGAAGAATACGATCGAAACAGTGTCCCGTCAGCAAGCATGTGTTCATAGTCAGAAGTCCGACCTCCAAAGCAGTCTGCAAAAGGCAATTGCTGTGCGTAGCAATGGCTTTGACCCTTTTGATTGCCAGAGTTCAAAAAAAGTCCGGGAACTGAAAGTTGAGTCATTCCTGAAGCCCCAGAACTCAACTCTGGTCAACCCCATGTGTGTAATGTCTTCGTCCAAGAGAAGTTCCAGCAAGTTTAATGATCAAATGGCAGGATCTCCAAGTAGCCAACTTCTCAGGAAAAAAGAAACCGTGCTTCCAGAGGCGAGACGGCAATGGTGGCTGAGTCATGAACTCCCTCATTGCTGATGTCATGGCTGTTTGTATGATGGTGTCATCGTTGTTGTTATTGTTTTTGTTGTTACATGTTGTTGCTGTAATTACTGTGTTCATGATCATGATCATGATCATGATGACGATGACGATGACGATGGCGGTGGTTCCAATGCTGGGCGACAATGTTGGTGATGAAAGTATTGCACAACTTGTCTTTGGTAAAGAGGCGCCGGGGATGAAGCCTACTTCCTTGGGCTGTTTGACCAACATGTTGGTCTGGCAAGCACGAACGCATATGCCCTGATCAAAAGAAAATTGTTTATGTTTCCAATAAAAGGAATGGTCACAGTCATCCTCCACCAATAGGGGTTAATATATGTCAGAATACCCATTAGATGAATATATCCCATCATTATGGGTTAATATACCCATTGGAAGGAGTCCCTATTGATGCTGGGATGACTAGACCCACACATGGAGAAATCCAGCGCAAACCATCTTTAAGGTGGTGCTCCCCCTGTTTGTTGGTGATGGTTCAGAACCTAAATCAACTAGCGCGCTGTATCTACATATATCTACAATTATCTACATATATACCATATTATACCATAAACCCAACAGTTATCGGAGCATATCCGAGCTATAAACTCAGTTAGCTAACTTTTTATCCCATTCAAATTCCCATTGGTCCATTAAATCAACATGGTTGCTTGTAAATGATACAGTACCTAGCTTCGCTAACGGATTGGGGCACCACCGGATGCCACGGGCCTTTCCAGGTGGCAGGTGCCGAGGCTGAGAATCCGGAGGAGCCAGAGAGGCCAACTCTGGACCAAGGACCGCGGTTTTCGCTGGTTGATATATGGTTGATATATGGTTGATATATGGTTGATATATGGTTGATATATGGTCTGGTTGATATGGTTGAGCCATAGCCTGGTTGATTTGGAAAAAAATTATGTTGGAACTAGAAAAACATAGAAAAACCTATAATTGATTGAGGATTATGATATGATGACCCATTTTTGGTGGGAAACCTATCAGCTAACTAGGTGTATTTTTGGATGGCTCGTATGTTGATATGGTGAGTAAATGCGAGTGATCCCGGAATGTCAATTTTTACTAGTGGATCATTTCATTCTGCTGGTCCATATGGGGGCTATTGTGGGCTATTTAACAGTAGGGATGGGATTCTATATTCAGTATGTGGTTTATGTAGGTTTGTGTTGACATTGGAAGCCATTTTTTTCATTCCTGAAGATCGTACTTCAGGAATATGTTCAGTATTGTGAAGAGCGGTTGGTAGGTTCGCCTAGTTCATTTTAGGTCATACTACAGTAGTTCCCATACTAGTTCCATTGACCATTAAAAAAATGATCTCCAAGTGGCATGGCCATCTAGTTCGAGGATTTCCCAATCATGTTTGAGTACCAGAGGATAGCTGCTAATTTCCAACGTAAAAATTATGGTTGGTTATATGTTGTGCATTTTATTTTTTACTGTAACAAATATCCCATTGAATCATTGAATTCAACGTAATCCCATGACATTCACTTCAATTCCATTCATAATATATATAGTCCCATTTATAATATTTTATAATAAATATCCCATTAAATCTTCCCATTGAGTCCCATTAAATCCTATGACATTCCGCGAAAATCCCCAAGTGGCTGATCTTTTTGTGAGGACAGCAGGCTGCCAAGTCGGTCAGAGACTCCCGAGAGTCTGCGAAGATGGTCCCTGGGCTGAGAACCAGCTGCGCTGGTCGCGGTGGCTGATCCCTGAAAAATGGAGGATCGTATCATCGATAATCGATATAACTATATGTACACATGTTGTAACATATATATATATATTGTAATTGTAATATAATATATATATATATTGTAATATTTGTACATAATGTTCATATACAATGTAATATGTATATGTATAGATTGTAATGTGTATATATATATATATTGTCATATGTATGTGTGTAATTCAAATATGTCCTGTTCAACAATCGATTAAATTGTGCAAGAACAGATGAAATGCAAGATTGAGCCCCTTCAGACTGTACAGTGCTGAGAGTGTTTGGGAGTTGGGAATTTGGATAGCTATTGTGGGAACGGTGACAACCTGGCAAGTAGCGGAATGGTTTCGATTCAAGATGATAGAAATAAACTGCTGCACTGGGCGGGTGTTCAAAGATTGGCAGAGTCCAACCCTCAAGCAGATCTGGAGAGCAGTTTAGTTCTTGATTCCTCACTTGTCTGAGGGATTCATGATAAAACTAGGAAAACTGGGAATGAAAACTGACTATTACTTTCCCACCGGCAGATCAAGCTAGCAACTTTGTCAAGAGCGGGTAGTTTTAATGCCTGCAAACATCATCAAACATCCATGGCTGAGCTGTCAGCCTGAGGCATGGATAGCACGTGCCAACCATGTCCCAGTGGACACATGTCTTCAAGCAGCAGACCTGTGACTTGAAACCGGGAATGCTCGGAAGGGACAGTCGAAGGCGGCCGACCACCCAAGCTATTCGGTAGTATAGGTGTCTCTAGAAATCTCTAGAGAGTGATAACGTGGCTAGGATTGGCCCAAAACCATCCAAAACCATCCCAAATCTCTCAAGTTAGGGCAGTTAGGGTTGTGTTTTTGTGCCCCAATGCATGGATCCCTGGACTGGGAGTTCCCTCCATCTTCGGCAGCCCCGTTTGTCCGGACTTCAAATCCGCCGTGCCATTCGATGCCTCCTAAACAGATGCATGTGAGACATAAGAATGTAAACATGTTATACAGTCTTGACCTTGTTTATATTCATATATTGAGTTGTATAGTGATACCTGTATCTATATATATATATATTATGATATTACATACATGTGTATGTATATGTGTGATTTGCAGTTGGTGATTCATCTTGGAAACGATCTCCGGCCTCCATTGTCAATCTTTGAGGTTCCTGGAGCAGGTGAACGCCTTGGAGAAGAACCTGAACCTGGAACAGCCCATTGGAGAAAACTAGAACCTGTAGATGGTTAGAGGGTCGAATTTTGGATGGAAACATATGGGAGTCTTCCAAAGTTCACTGGACTTCCAGATTAAATGTTCAAGATATGATATGTTTACATGTTCCATGTTTGATACATACGGTTTAGTTGGTTCATCAGAGCCTTGTTGCGACCTCAGGTTTGGAAAGTGCAGCTCGGTTGCAGAAAGTGATGGGGCTTGGGGGTCTGAGGAGGAATTCTGATTGATAGACGTGTCCTTCTCCCACTAGTTGGTTGATTTATAGAAGGTGTCCACCATCCAACAACCAATAATGACAACATTAGGTGATAATAAATACTATACCAATATTGGTTTGATGATGTTTGATGTTTTTTTTGCCAGAGTTGGTTTATGAGGTTTTGTGCCGCTATATCTCCCCATCAAATCCCCATCGAACTAATTCGGCCTTGGTTGTTGGCCTAGGCCTTCTCCACTGCACGGGCATGGAAAAACTGGAAGATTTGCCACCGGATCTGCTTCGCCATGCCTTTGCGGTTGCAGACAAAGACAAGCAACTCGAGTTGCACAGCGGAGCGTGGCAGTCCCGGGGAGTCAGTGGTGTTGTTTTCTAGTTGGGCGCTGTAGGAGTTTCTTACACTTTCTTCCTTTACATCACTGGGAATATGATTCAGTTGACCAATTTTTTGGGGGGTGGATCAGTGGATCACCCACCAGTTTTTCCTCAAAAACTGCTGCTTTGGATTTGGATGGATTTGGTGCTTGGAGATCCAAGTTTGGTTGGCAGAATTATACCTTGGCAAGGATCGAGGAGTCCTATCCAATCCTATCCATGAGTCGGGGGGAACCTAAGTTATGGGTATGGGTCAAAATCAGGTTCCCCAACAAGATGGTTTACTACTAGGAATGACTAGGAATGACCCCTTGATCTGTAGTTCCCTGGTTTCATAAGTTTACCCAGTTTACCCAAAGCCATTGCCAGCCTTCCATGTTTTTTGTCTTCTCAGGAATGGCACCATTTCCTTTCCCGAGTTTGTGACGTGGTTTTCGACGGTTGCTCATCTGCCGAAAAAGCCACCCATTCTGGAAGCTACGACTCACAAAACCACAGATGCAGATTCTACAGATGCAGGATATACATAGTTTGGACATGTTTGGACACTTATGGCGCTTGTGGATACTTGTTGGATGCAAAATAATCCATCTATTGTTGAAAGCCACAGGTTTGATTTGTCAATGTCTTTGGCGGAAGTCTGACTGATTAAACCACAAAAGAGTGCCAGCATGTGCCAGCTGCCATGTGGTCGTCTGCAAGAAAAGTTCGATGTCCATGATTCCGTTGACAACACGCAGCCAAAATATCAAGGTTGGGTTTAATACGAATGTGACCCTTTCGCCGAAAGAGCGGGCTTTCCGGGAATTCTGTGCCGAGAATAACTTGAGAAGCTTGTCCGCATCCATGTTGCTGGCAGCGGGTTTGTTGGCGGTTTGCCGAGCCAACTTTTTGGTGATGTATTCCATAGCAAAGCAGAAAACATATGAGTAAGATATTCGCACCATGTCATGATACTCTTGAGTCAAGAAGCATGGCCATCAGAACCCCTAAGATCATGTATATACTGCATCATGGAAAAAGACCGACAACATCCGACAACCAGAATTTGCCCTGGCGACACTGCAAACACAACCTTACCGACACGAGTCGTGAAGACAACACCGCATTCATCAAAATCACCAAAATCATCATCAGCAATAGATAAATATATATATACAGTATAAATATATATATATATTTGTGTGTATGATCGGTCATTTGTGAAAAGCCCTCCATGGGTCTTGTGATGCTGTAGAAAGAACCTAATCTCCTTGGTTGTTGCTTCAGCATTGTGAGCCTCTGAGCTGGCAGGTTTGGTGGATATGGACAGATATCAAAAATATTTTGTGACTTGGCGCATTTTCTGCCCCATCTTCCTGATCTGTTCGCCATTCCGTGTCGGAACAAGTCGGAACTTTTAGCACATCCAGGGCTTAGACGTGTACACTTGTATACCAGATAGTCAGATCATCATCAACTGATATCCCAAGACTATTCTAGATTCTAAATCCTTCTGATGGTCAGATGATCAAGATCCGAATGCGCTACGAGTTTGATATTTGCCTAGATTCTTTGCGTGTACAAGTACCCTACAATGAAGTATTCTCAACACTGAAGTGCCTCGTGGACTGGCTGAGGCTGAATACGATTGTGATGGAAGCGGTGAAATCGATTATGAAGAGTTCGAAGGTGTCATCAGGAGACATATCTTTGTAAAATTTTGTAAACACCTAAATATCCAAGACTTGGTAAACTGCAAACCTATCCCATATGACTTTGTTTGGGTTCAGAATTTCAGGGAGCTATCTACACTTTTGGAGATCAACTACTGGCGCCCATCACAGGTAGTGCCACAAGGTGACAGGTGCATGTAGTCCTCCGAAGGAGCATCACTGTGGCAGGTCCACAACCTTGATCAAGCTTGAACTCTCCAAGAAGTTTGGTCACAGTTTGGTCACAATACGTAGATCATCTTAGATATCAACAATGATCAACAATGATCAACATGGTCATTTCATGTCATTTCCAAACCCTGCACTTAAGGTCACTTAAGCCATCTTACGCCATCGCAAGTTTCGTTGTGCACGAAGACTGCGTCGTCTCCCTGAGAGGAGATGCGCTCGAGTGCCGCGGCATTTGGAAATTCCTCCTGCGCGGATGAAGCAGCTCTGGACCCAAGCAGTTACTTGGATCGGGGAGCTGGTGATGGGATATGTTGGAATATGTTGGAATATGTTGGAATATGTTGGAATGGTGTTTCCTAAAACAAAACGGTGAACTGCCTGGTGGTGTCAAAAAGGTTCATGTCATGATGTCATGTTGTCATGTTTCAAAGATGTGTCATGTTCAAGCCATGTCAACTCCATGATCCCAACTGACTGGCATAGTTTTCGTCGTTGAAATCACCAGGGGAGTGGGGGTTGTTTTGAGGGCGGTGTACTACGATATACTGTGATCTCCTGCAAAGCCAAGGGCTCTTAGCATCCTGATAGGTGGTTGATACACGGCGAATCTTAAGTGAAGTTGAAGATGTCAGAGCCTTGTTCGAAGCTTGTGCCGAATTCTGACCTCTTTTAGTATCAAATGTTATATCATGTTATATCCATAGTTTAACCCCATGAACTCTGGATATAACATGATAATATAACCCCAGTTGTACGTATATCCAGCAGTTTGATTCCTGGCAATGCCAAGTCTGCCAGCAGCAAAACCCTCCGACGCAACCGGCGGTTTGAGGACAATGACTGCAGTGGGTCCATTGACTTCGTCTCTGTGTTTGAATTTCGGGGGGCGAAAAAGGTGCGTATCCAATGCTGTTTGGATAGACATTCATTTGGATATGATGGGTAACTAGATACTAAACCATTATTTAAATGTACTATCTTTACTACCAATAACATTCTATAACTATCTATAACTACCATATGTGATGCTTCAATGCGCATGTTTGACTCCTGGACTCCCATGTAGCAGAGAGCGTGTCTGTGAACGTCAGCCTTTGGCAGTTCAGCAGATGGATGCAGTGAACTAGCAGCTGCTGGTACCTGTCGGCTGGGCTTGTTTCAACCCAGGAAGAGTTTGCCCTGTTCTACCGGAAATTCTTTGAGGCGCCTGGTGCTGCAGGCTTTGTTACTTGGACGCATCAGGGTCTTTCAGCAGCTTTTGAAGGGTCCGGCTGTTTGATGTGAAATGTTTGGAGGAGTTTGGAGGCCTTGGCAGTGAGATGTAGTGCAGCTTTACATGTCTGTTTGTGAGTCCATGTTGGTCGCCAAGTCTGGCCAAGACCATCGTGACATCAACCTAGGAGAGTTTCTACCGAAATGTACGACCTCCCTTGGGAAAGATCGTTGGGTAGACTCAGGCAGCAGCTTTAGGCTGTTGTTGCGTTTGATTGGCTTTTGGCTGGTTCCAAATGATTTTTCATATTTTATAGATATAGCATCTCCCTGCCTAAATGATGGATACAAGTTGTCCAAAATGTTGGGGACGATTGAAACCAACATACAGCTTTGAGCGACTCGGAGTTGATTGTGGATAGGCTGCTACCTTCCCACGGAGTAGATGCTGTAAGAGGTTTGCCACAGGTTTGCATCCGCTAAATGTTGCCGATTTTGGAAATTATCCGATTTGGAGTGCCAAAGAATGATCCATCGATCTAGAACCAGCTCACTTTCAGCACTTCCGGTCCGTGCAGCAGTCCGTGCAGGCCTCGACACCCTTTTTGGTGAGCGCTAAAGGCTGCCAAGTCTTAAAGATTATCCATGGGTCCTTCAAGTTCAACAGTTGCCAGTTGCTGAGACCATGATTAGCCACAAAAATGTGCAACGGTTCACTTTGGACAATGCCGGATAAGAAGTGCACATCAAAACGCTGACAAGATAGACTTGGCCGCTGTGAAGCTGGCCCTGGACAGCGGAAAAAGCCGAGTCTGATGGGTTTCGGCGGTCTGATGGGTTGGAAGGTCTGAGAGGACGAGAGGTGTTTCCTCTCCTTTCAGATTCTAATGAGGCCGAAGTCTGCCGAAGTGTTTGAGATTTTAGTTTGAAGAAACCCTAGTCTCGAATGAATTTCGTGGGTTGACCCATTGCTCAGGACATGTTTGTGTTGTTGGTGTTCTGTCTATCGGAGCCTTGCAATGTGTGCCGTAGAGACATTCGTTTGTCGAATCGCTGAGAGCTCTGATTCGACAGCCCGTGATCTCTTGTACAGTAGACTAGAGCTGTGGCATCGTTGGCTTGCGCATCAGCCATGGTTTATTGAAGGAACCTGGCAAACTGAGGAGCCACAGCTGACCAAGCGTAGTTTCCCCATCTCATGGTCAGAAAATTGATGATCCTGCCATATCCTGACTCATTCTTACAAAAGAATAAGAATAACATAACAGATCCAACATGGGATGGAAAAGCTCGGATTCATATGAAAATGATGATGATGATGATGATGAGGATGAGGATGAGGATGAGGATGTTTATAGGATTTTATAGGTATTTATAGGATTCAATACGTACTCGTACTTTCCATCATTGAGACAGCCTTGGCTCCATGGAACCTGTCGCCCACCGGCTAAGCCGAATGTGGCGATGCCGTGGCGTTGCCAGTGGAGATGTTGGAGTGATAGCTGCAGGGTATTGCAAGGTGACAAGAACTTACACAACCATATAAAGTCAAAATATCACACATCGAATTTTATATACATATATATGACATATATATGTGTGTGTGTGTGTTGATTCATTTGTTTATCTATGTGTATCTTTTTTGCACAAAGACAGATCTAGAATTTTTGCCAGATGACTATATCAATGGGAATTCCAGGATACAACAGATGGAGGTACGTTAGTACCATATAACGCCATATTATATTTTGTGGGGATATTCCCTTACATAGGCCTTACATAGGCCTTATATATGGTAGGTACCTCCAATTTGGGTTCCTGTTGCATGGCCATTGACAGATCCCTGGATGCCACAAACATAGAATTCATCATTTGATGATTTTCTGTAGAATGGGATCATTGTTATACATATATAATCATAGATACATATATGTTGTATCAAACGATTTCAGTAGGGAGGGAATGGGCTTGATTGTTTCATTTCGAAATCAAACATTTTTTGAGCTAGGGTTCAAACCCTTTTTTTTAAACTATTCCTAAGCCATGGATAAACGGAGTTAATGCTAGGTCGCAGTTTCCCCATTTCGCTGGATGATACAACTGAATCAAGGGCACCAACCAACCATGTATAAAGTGCCAGCAGGCCTCCACTCCACGCCACAAAATGCTACAACGTTAGAGGAGCAAGGAGTGAAGCCAGTTTAAGTGGTAAGCCTGCCCTCATCATTTTGGTCGGATCAATGGTCTCATGACAGCAGCTTACTTTTCTATCATTTTGGTCGGAGGCAAAGAAGCCTCGTTGGTGAAAAGATGTGAAAAGTATGTGAAGCACACATGCAACTTCTTGAGAGCTGGGAAGGTGCCTAAGGGTTCTGGACATGATCCATGAGGGATGTAGAAACTTCATGAAATTTCCGGGAACAACTTGGCCTTCAAGGGTAGATAAACTCAAGCAACTTTACATGATGAAAGCAGAAAGGTGCTATTGTCCCAATGTATTCCTGGTCACAGCAACTACGTTCATCAGGATTTCTCACAGCCAAGACCTTTTCTTGCCCAATGTGCACAGAAAATTGGTTTCACTGCTGGACAAGAACGGCGTGAATTCCAGAGATATTGACACAAGTTGACATGCACAGCGGGTCTTTGAGTGGCTGGATGTTCAATGGTGCTCTTGCACGTGTCTCCACATGTGATTAAAGCCACACCTGTTGGTGCAGGTCATCAGTTTTTGCTCGGTCCAGGCAATTTTGCCAAAAATTATCACCTAAGGCAACGGCAACAGATTGCAATTAGTCTCGGCGTGTTTTGCGTTGAGAACCTGAGAGAAATATGGCGGCAGCTTTTGGGGGTGGCATGGTGGCTTTAGCTGGAATTCAGCCGTTCCCATCTTGCAACATTGCCAACCCAATCCTCTATCAATCTCATTGAAAAAATAAATATACAAGGCACAAGGTGCTTTACAAGGCATAAGATCAGATATCCATAATTAAATATCCATAAATATCCATTAAGGCAGTAAGGCATGTGCTTTACATGTGCTTTCCCTTTTCAACACCCTTCCCAGGTCCATGGGTCTCCATCGTGTTTGCGCAGGTGAACATCACTTGGCCATCAAGTGGTTCCAGTGTCTCGACTGGTCAGAGACCTGAATCTGGGCTGCTGGTTTCAAGAATACAATACATATATATATACATACATGGTGTATATAATATATACATATATATATACATATACATATATATATATATACATATATATATATACATATATATATACATATATATATATACATATATATATATACATATATATATATACATATATATATATATACATATATATACATATATATATATATACATATATATAGAGAGGGAGAGAGACAGATACATATATATATATATTGATATGATGAATATTAGTAACCCCAAAAAAAGATAGAAATGTGCACTATATTCTAGAATGAAAGGTATATAAATTAGGATGGTACTGACTGGTACTGATGATGTTTTCCCCATAATGTCCAGGTGTCCAACGTGTCTATCTTTTTGGGGGTTGTTACAGATGATATATGATGATATAGGTGTTACTGCTCACAGATATTGGGACGGAGAGGTGCGACTGACTTGACATCAGGCCATGGATAGACTTATATTAGAGGTCACAATTGCTGTGTTTGCTGCCAAAAATTGGTTATCGTTGGCAAAATAATCTTAAAGCATTATATGCTCCCAAAAATGTGTACTTCATTGTCATTTCCCGAAAAAAAATGCCTTGTGGGAGATATTTAATTATTAGGACATTAAGAGGATGGGAACATTGCTGAAATGATTAGATATCCTGATATCCATTGATATCCTTATTCAAGGTTATCACAAGTTATCACAGCCATTCCGCCATCCAACAGACCCCCTGAGGCATGCTCGCCACATGGGCAGCATGACCAGTGCCTGTGCCAGCGCTGCTTGCGCCAGTTTGGCGGCAAGTGGGGGAGCTCAGTGGTAGATAGTGGTAGCGATGCAGAGTGGAACCCTCTTGGGGGATTGGATGGGGAGTTCATCGCTTCAAAATGGGGGGATGAGTTTGTCTCAAAGGTGGGAGATAGTTCCAGGAAAATCGGCAAGTTTTAATTTGGAGAAAATGAAGATACACGATGATACACCATCAGATTTGGACTGACCTTTTAAAGCCGCTTCAGAGTTGTGCTAGAAGCTTTCAAAGGGGTCAGCTTCCGGCCAGTCGGCGAAGCTGCTGAAACGGCTCGGGGGCTCGGGAATCTTCATGGTGAACCTTGTTTCCATTTGGATGGTGAAACTACTCATGCCTGGTCTGTTCAGAAGAACATCTATGTTGGGGAGCAGATGAACCAGATGAGGGGAGTACTTTTAAGTATGTTAAAGCATCTTCACTTGTATGAAAGTAACGAAGCAAGAGACATGCCATTGACCTTGAGGCAGCCCTCTTGCAGAAATTTGAAGAAGATGGACTTTCTATGAAGGCAGTAGATTTTGGGCGGCGATGATTGTCTCCCTTTTGAATCATCCTGCATTTGAAAAATGCACCAAGCGACATCTTCCGACATATTCCTGAAAAATCATCCTTTTCCAGATCATTCAATGCTATTCAATGCTGTGGCACCCCTGTAGACCATGAAGATCAGAGTGAAAAGAACTAATTTGTCCAACGTGTTTCCGATATTTTCCCTGATGAGTCCATGCTGAGAACCCATCCCAGACCACCCAGATATGGGTCAGGTCCGCGCCTATGCCTCGCTCGCCAGAGCGTGGGCGGCACAGGGGAGGAGCGCATGGTAGTTATCGTGCCATTTGGGCATTTCTACGAGAATTCTCCTGGTCATTTTTTCCCCTTGGTTGCTTCATGACACCGTGGAGTTCATCCATTTGCCCTCATGGTTGCTTCAACTAAGTAAAGTATAGTAAAGTTGCACTTTTGCGGAGGATTATTTTGGCAGTCTACACCATTGGCAAGATGTATGCCGCAGGCGCGGAGTAGATCGGAGAAGCTGTTCCCATTCTCTTCCTTCACGCAGGAGAACAGCAGGAAATCTAGAGTTTGATCCGCACACTGCCGTGGAAGCTTTCGTTACAGCATCATTCTACACCCTAAGGTCATCAGTGTACGTCCTTGACATGGGCAACACTCCTGGAAGCCTGTCGCTCGCAGCCCCGGAGGTTTGGCGAGGTGCATGCCTGCGTGGGGCAACATTGGGACTGGTACCTGGTTCCGGGACAACAAGACTCCACAAAGTTAGGCAAGCTGAAATCGCATAGGTGGCAAGCACCCCATTTGGGAAGCGAAGCAGGACTTGAATTTAATCGGTCGACCTCTGCAGAACAGCTGCAGGTTTGTGGAGATGCTTCTGTTTGTTGTGGACGGACGGGTTTTCCACCAGAGTTAAGCTTGAAATGTCCTGACATCGCTCCTGAAAACCACCCCTTTGCTGCACCCATGCAAGGCGGAACTGTTGCTTCGTTGTATGGCTGAGCACAAAGCATCCATCCCAGGCACACTGCATTCTCCGACAGGGCAGATCTATCTGTGGCGCGGTATCCACTGAACTTCCTGCCACGAATCTTGTGTTTTGTTAAAACAACACTGTCAAGTGCGGCAGCCACTTCATTGAAAGCAGTTTGAGTCTCTCATCCACTAGATTACACAGAATGGAACTTATGCATCAGGTTTGATCAGCCACGAAGGGAGCTGAAAGATTAGCAGATGAATTGCCAAGATGTCTCAAGTTTAGGTTCGGAATGGTTCGGATATCATTATCATGGCGAAAAGATAGGTTGAAAAGACAGCCCGCGCCTCATGTAGGCGATCGCGCCATGAGTGCATTGCTATGGACCTTTGGCGTCCTGGCGAGTGTGGGATGTGGGGGGGGCGCAACATTTGAAAGTCCCTGTGAAGAAGCAACCCAGTCATACCCAGTCAACTCAAATCCTGGAATAAAGTTGATATCAGCTAGAGCCAGACACGTCCAGATCTTCAAGATGGACTTGGGTAAATGATGGTGCACAGGCATTGCGGTCCCTGCTGGCAATGGTCAGCTGACATCAGTTGGAAAAGTACTCGCCTGCACGGCAAACATTGAGGTGAAAAGCGCTTAGAGAGATTGCTGCGCAACTTGTGGTTGAAGGTCGGCAGGGCCCTTAGTACTTTGAGACTTGGAGTTTCAGAGTTTTCCTGAAGATGCCAATGTGAAGGAAACCTCGTGTGCGCAACATGTTGATGTTTGGTAAACACCAAGTCACGGACCAATGATGCGAAGGTGTCTAGTTTGGATCTATCACTGCTTCTTCATGACCTTCAGCCGAGGCGAAGCGCCTTCTGCTTCGCAGGAGGTGCTTGGAGTCATGTTTTTGTTCAAACCATGGATACCATGGAAGCGGCATCAAGTCTCATTCCTGGCATTCGGCGTAGATGGTTAGTGCTCTGATATTGATTATATTTAGATATATTTAGAATTATTTAGATATATTTAATCATTAAGTAAACCAATGGTGGCATGCGGTGATATGGACCAATGGTGGTCATCCCCTCATGGATGTGTGCAAGCCTTCCCACCTGGATCCACCTGGCATATTTTGGCAGGAGCCTGGTGAGAAGCCCTGCTGGTTCGATTTGCAGAGGTCAGCCTTGCGACCACCCCAAGATGGACATCGTGCCATGTTGAAGAGAATTTGGAGTCCACGAACGGGACCTGAAGCCGCGGCCACTGCTGCTTACCATCGCCGCATGTCGAAAGGACATCCTGCAAAGTGAGGAAATGTGATGCAAAGTGCTACGTCCCTTAAGTTTCAGCGCTGCAAAGGTAGTTGCACGATGATTAGAGTTGCAGGATCTCCATGTTTTTTCATGTGTTGAAGAAGTGCACATTTTCAGGTACTTGATTATGACCATACCCCTGCACCTGTGTGGTCTCGGGGTGGGGCCCAGTCAGAGTCTCGGCCCGAGCCAAGAAAGCTGGAGAAAAGAAGCTTTGGGACCCGACTGAACAATGCGCCTGTTAGATTGGCATAGATTGGCCCCAGTAAAAACACTTTTGGTATGTTTTGGTTCTAGAAGTTTCTATAGGTTTATCATGGTTTATCCATGTTTATCCTAGTTTATCGAATTCTGGGTCTACCCAATTGTCTCCAATGATGACTTTTTGCCCAGCAATTCTTTGTACTGTACAACCCCAAAAGCATCCCGTCGCTATGCTCTGGATCAGCTGAGAATGATTTTGACAGAAAAGCTGGAGAGAAAACGAAATATAATAAATATAGATGAATATACAAGAAATGTATGAGGTAATACTCGTATCAGCTGATGTCAGCTGTACATATAATACTTCACTTATAAAGATAAATCAGGAGTAGCGGAAGCCTTACCTGAACCACTGATCAGACACTATTGTCACACACACACAGACACACACATCTCATAGCACGTGCGGCATATCAGTGGTTTCGTCATGGAGGAGGAAGAGCTGAAGGCAAAGGGATTTCCATTTAACCTGATTCAACCTGTTCTGTTTGCTGGTTGCCTTGTTGTGTGCTCGGGTTCAAGTCAGCACTCGCTTCTTGACAACTTTGAATGGTCCACATTGACCACGTGAGTGTCTTACCCACCATGCTCAGTCACCAGCCTTGAAGCATAGCCGATGCGGGGGTTTCTAAAGCAGGGGTACCCCAAATGATCCAAATTTAGACCATTTTAGTATTGAAACCCATGATTTTGGAGTACCCCCATTTTAGGAAACCTCCATGTAGCCGCAGCACAGCTCCAGGCTGAGATTCGGCGTTTGGAGCAGCAGCAGCTTGCGCAAATGCGTCAAGGCTTGCTGCAGATCCACTATTGCCTAGATGCCAATTTCTAGTTGGACCCAAATTGAAACGGGAAAGTCAGAATGAGACTTGTACGAAGGAAATCAAGGAGATCCAAAACAAAAGGGCAGCATCTACTCGAGAAGCTTCAAGGACGAACTAACGAGCCTGTATGGAAGAAAGGCCTTAAAAGAAAAAGAAAATCAAGAGGAAGGTGTGAAGGGGAATTGAGAAGGAAATCAACAGTGGAGGCTTTGAGGATTTGATGTGATGGAATCAGTGCTATGTTATGGTAAATGGAATTCAGATCTGAGTGATTCGTGTACCTTGTTCCTCACGCTGTTTCTTGTGCAAAACAATCGGCCCATGTTCTGTTCTAACAACTTTGATTGATATCGTTTCATATTATCGTATGAGTGTACAATCATCGCTGTAAATCTTTTTGACGGGTTTAAGTTATATAAGGGAGACTGTCACACCTGCGTCTTTTGGTGTTGACTACAGACACCTGTTTCTTACAGACACCTATATAATATATGTTTAGATGTCAACCGAAGCCTCTATATACACGACGCTTGGACACCTCTGTCATTTGCACGTGTTTACATGTTTAATTACGCTATACTAACTATGAGACTGAGACTTAGCCCATGAGGTTTATGTTATGTTTAGTCTATAGAAATCGATTTAGAGCTGTATATGATGTACATATGGTGTCCAATATATGTGTATATATATATATATGATATATGTCTACATATGTATGTTTTTTATTTTCACTTTAAACCTGATTTTTCACTTTCACATTTGTTTAAGCCACTTGTCTCCAGAGAAACGCAGATTAAACTCACCATAGCTAGCTGCGTCAGCTCAATCGTAGTTGAAACAGCGCGCTCCGCATTTCTTCTTCTTGTGCCATGTGCTGTGACATTGCTTGTCTTGTTGAGCCTGCGGCTCAGTGCGGATGATGTGTTCCTTTTAGGATGCAGCAACATGTGCAAAATACAAGTCCGAGGATTCTTGTGAGAGGTTTTTCCGACCATTGCAATTGCGAGTTGGTTTTGCCACGGTGGTTTTTGCGATTTGTTGGGGTGAATTCTGGCGCCTGATGCCCAGGATTGGGTCGGCCGGCCCTTCTTGGAGCACACACCTCAGCTTGAAACGTTTCTTTGCCCAACATACAGGGGACCCGCTGCCTGAAGGTTACACCGTGCCCTCGGATACGGGAAGCTTCTTCGAGGAGGTTCATCCTGGTTTTCTTCGCTTTGGGTTTCTTGAAGGTTTCATTTCTGGCCGGAAGCAGGGAACGTGTTTGCTGTCCCATGACGGGCTTGATCCTTTTTTATGTGGGCCGCTCCTGCCCAATCGACGAGAAGTGTAACGGGTTCCAACCCAGGACTTGAAACAACTCACTGGGTGTGTGGTGGCTGTTGGCAGAGTCTGCTGCTCCTTTGGGTGGTGGCTTGGGTTTGGCTGTGGACGTTCACCCAAAAAAACCGCCCAAATGGTCACCACATGGTTCAATTCAGTTCGTGCACGTAGGCAAACATGGTAGTTTGTGATCCGCAACAGCCAGGGTGATTTTTTCACCGTCTGCTCGCCCCTTGTCTGAGACTACGAGGGTGCTGCCACACGATGTCCAGGATGAAATCATTTGGCAAAGGACGGAGCGTACATTTTTGTTCTTGTTCAGGTTTTGCGACGCAAACTGCGAACCCACACCTAAACCAATCCAAAAATGTAGTCCTTATGAGAAAACTGGGAAGGAGGAACTTACATAGAGGAGCGTTCCCTGCAAAAGGTGAGAGCCGCATGCTGCGGAGCAAGGCAGATCCATGTAAAGTTTTTGAGTGGTTGTTGCATATATTTCAAAAGAAGAAGAAGGACATTTTGCCATGTTCAGAGCCAAGTCGCAAAGTTATCAAACGTTGCTCTTTCGAGTTGTCAGTGTTTTCTGAGGAATTTGCACCCATGGTCAGCGGCTTGCGTGTAACCTCTTGTATTTTCACCATGTTTTTTTCTGGTGTTGTTGCTGGTGGGTGTGCGCTAAGTTCTGTTACGCAGCAGACAGCGCTTGAGTTCAGCAGCAGGGTCATGCGGAGACAGGCTCTTGAAAACAACCAGCTTGACGGACGGTAGCTAAGGGTCAATGATGTTGTTGAACTGGACCTGGGCGAGGGCCTGTGCACGCAGGCCAGTCAATGACACGGCCAAACAGGTTTTTGAAGCTTTCGCGCCTTGCCCGTGGCAGGTGGAAATTGATGCGCCGCCTCAATGCGATCCAGACCTTATGTGGACACTGGTCCGCATTTTGTTCCCCCAGTATTCTGCGTGTTTTGTTCGTGGCTTCCCTTTTTGCCCTGAAGCAGTTCGTGGCTGGAGGCGCAAAGCACTTGAGGAGCACAAGTTACCTGAGTTTCTTCGCAGCAAAGATGTTTTGCTTTCACAAAATTTCGCTTTTTTTGAGGTTTCTCTGGCAGCGCTGCCAGTGCACCCCTCAGGTTGTAAAGATTCTTGTCGCTGCCCTGTGTGTGACCATGTGCGCTTCTACGGAGGTTGATTGAGCTGCCGGGAGCTTTGCCTGAAACCAATGCTTGAAACCGCGGCCAAGGGGGTTTGTTTATTCGTTGGCCTGGGCAAGATCATGTTGTTTTTTTGGCCCAGCGGTGAGGCCGAACAAAATGCGGTTCAATAAGCCAACCAAGGCATGAACTGCGTATAGTTTCGTGGAGTCTTTCGGTTTTCTTTTTTGCAAGCGTAGTTGCGCAGCGGGCCCGCCAGAGTATCCGCAGGGAAAGATGACGTCCGCTGAAAACTTGTATCGTTGAAGACTTGTATCTGAAAGATTGCGTTGAGAGCCAAGCAGCCTCAAAGTTGGGTGGGCCGTGTAAGTTTCACATGAGTTTCACCATGTTTCATCAATTACTTCCAGCGCGCTCGAAAAGTTGGCCAGCCGACGCTGTTCTTTTCGAATGCGCGGCAATGCTGTTGCTTGACATGTCCACCGCGTTGATCTTTTCAATCCATTGAGAAACTATAGGGGTGGCTCCATCAATGGGAGGTACCCCAACTTACGGATGGCTTATAAGGAAAAACCCCATTAAAATAGATGATTTGGGGTTACCCAGGAAACATCTAATATGGGAATGGGTCAAAACCTATTATTACCATATTGCAGGGAATAAACATCCAGTAACCAGCGATTTTAGGGCACCTAGGCTGCCAGGGTTTTGACACATAGTATATATATATATGTGTGTGTGTGTGCGTGCGTTTATTTATTTATGCATCTATTTATTTATTAAGAGTACCATAGTGAAACTTGGTTAATCCTCCAATGCGGGACCAGCGAAAATACCAAGTTGGATTTGGTCTTTGCATGTTTTTGGAGGCCATGAACAAGTAGTTTACGTGCTAGTGTTTGTTGGTCGATATTACCAATTTCTTGCCCCATTGGTTGACATGGCGATTGTTAACAGCGACCAATCACCTCTTCAGGCGCCATTCTTCAGAGCAAACTTGAGGAAGCTCAACGGCAGCAGAGGGAGCTGCAACAGGATTTGAAGGTTGGAGACGCTGAGAGTGACCAGAGTTGCCAAATTGAGCTCCATGAAACTGGAGAACATCGCTTAAAAATAAATGTAATGGTGTTTTTCCCATTTGTTCCATGTTTGAGACACACAGCTCCCGAATTAGTTTGAGATAGTCTTAGATCTTAGGATCTATATCATCGACCGGGATTGATGTCAAGTCACTGAAAGCAGTTTGCTTGCTGTTTCTGTGGCAGGCTCGCCATGCTCAAGTGCTGAAAGACCAGCAAGAGGAGCAGATGAGACGGGAGCAAGAGGCTCTTTTCGGTGTACACAACATACAGAACGGGATGCTTCAGGACTGGAGCGTGTTCCAAAATCACAAGCATGCACAAGCCAGTCTCATGTGCGTTTCTTCCAAAAATGGGAAACGTGGAAAAAGAAATGTGGATCGAAATACTCACAACTTCATAGCCCTGGCTAGTGAGTCCCCTAAGTCGCTCCCATTGATCCTTTCCTCCAAGCTGCCAGGCAATGGCACAATTGGAGGAGGACCTTCAGAAACGGCAACCTGGATGCCTTTGACCAGTGGCAGGAAATCAGTGGTTTAAACTCTTATTTCTGACAGTTAAAAGTCCAATGTATAGCAATTTGATGGAAATTGATGGAAAATTATGACAGAACCCATGGGATTTTGGGGTGTTAGTCTGAAACGAATTTCTTGGACAAGTACGGACAAGCGTGCGTTGATGGGTAGAAATGCAGACACAGAGGGATTTGGGTGGATAGGATCTTTTTCGTCCCAGTGAAGACACAATACCCAAACGAAATCCATGTATTTTGACCATAATCGAAATTTCATTCCCAACCTAGAAGAATGTTACCCAATGAATAGTTGCTGTATGTTGCTGTACTTTCTTGGTGGGGTGGCTCAAACATTGACAGGGGTTCCACGGGCACTTGAGGTTAGAGGAGCTTCGGACCAGAGAGGTGGAGTTGGAAAAGTCCTTGCGTTCCGAACAAACTCGGAAGAACGACTTGGACGATGAGGCCGAAAATGGGATGCAGCGAGGTTTCTCCAAAAGATCCAAAAAGTGGAAATAGCAAAAATCATCCAAACTTCCATGGCTCATGAATGTTCCGGGTCATTTTCCCCATGACTCAAGACCCAGAGCATTTCTTTCCTTTGGTGTTTTGATCTGCTTTGTCACGCCCCTGCAACCAGATCACAAGATTTAGGTCTCCCCATTTGAGACCAGCCATCAGACAATCCTTTGCAGTCACCTTGGCGCAGCACTGTGGATAGGTGCACTATTGGCGAAGCTGTGGACATGCTCTTCTGAAACGAACAGGTGCCAATCAGAGAGCAACGACATGTTTCAAGAATTTTGGGTTTCTCGGAGACTGTGGGAAAATTGAGCTGATGGAGAAATTTCTTTCGAAGGTTCAAGCGTCCTGTGAATGGTTGATCTCAAAACACTCAAAACTAATTAGTCACTTGCCTGTGCGTGTGAACTGAGGTGGCCAAGAGACTGAGGTTCTAGAGGAGCTGTGTGGCAAGTGTAGCCGCTGCAGTAACTGTGCAGTTGCTTAGCCACCAGGAGGCTGCCAAGAAAGAGATCGATCTTCAAGTTGAGATGAAGGTGCCCCTGGAACTGGGAAAAAGAGGCTGCAGGTTACTATTACTACATGTTACTACGTCAGGCTTTAATCTTCCCATTTTTTGGGGAGTGAGTCAAACAGAATCAAGAGAGAATCGAATCAAGTAGAGTCAAATAAGAGAATCAAATAGAATCAGCTCTTCCAACTCTTAGTTTTTCCCAATGAAACTCTCGAGGCTTTGGAGGCGCAAGGCTCTGAGCTACGGATCCGGATCAAGGCAGTTTCAGCCGTGGCTTCAATGTGTGTTGATATTTATATTACCCGAACCAGTATGGTAGTCATAATATGTTAATATGATATTATATATATACACACATATAATGATTACATATCGCGTTATAGAATAGTTGTAGATGTTGGTCACATGAGCAGATTTCGTCACCTGCTTTTTGGGGTTCATGCTGACCATCAGTGGTGGTGCAGTGAACTGCCTAGGGATTTACCCAGAAACCGTCCATCCATTAATCCGTCTATTCTGAAAACGGTATATACCTATACCCCTAAGTGGCATTTGTAGGGAAAAATGCTGGCTGATGAACCATTGAATTCTGGGGCACACCATTTTTGAGACAAACCCATTTTGGTTCACGCGCAATGGGCTTGGGTCAAAGTCAATTGCACAAACTGTTGATGTTCTAAAACTGAAATGAATGGATTTTAATATGTGACCCTTACCCCTTTTTTTGGCTGCAACAAGTTCGCAAGTTGTTTTTTTCCGTGATCAAGGTACCAACCGCCAGTGCCTCCAGTCAGATGTTGACAATTTCACCAAATGATAGCCACAATGGGGGGAAATGATAATTTTACTTCAAGGCGTCAAGGTGAAACTACTTCATTACACTGCAAGTAAGGTGAAACTGCAAGGAATGAAGAATTCACAGGGTGTGCTCACTCAACAGTGACAATATGGTTTGGGGGGGCAAATGGTAATGTTTTTTTGGGGGAAACCAACAATGCGTTTGGTGTACCTCAAGTTCGAGAAACACCCATCCCCAAAGTTTCATATTATTGAATCCTAGTATATAATTCCCGAATTGTTGTTGGTTAAACCACCCGTTAAATCCCAGGAATGACACCCATACTGGCTTTATCAAGTTGTATCCCCATGATATTGCTGATGTGTTCCCATGCATCTATATATATAATGATATATATATATATACATACATATTTAAAATATACTTATCATATTTGTTGCATCGGCGTGTATTTATTGCATTAGCATATATCTATATAGTATTACAGTGTATAGTATTACAGTACATAGTATAGTATGTATATATGATGTATAATGTATATATGGCATTATATTGCATTGCATGGCACGATGCTGGAGGGAAGAAATCCTGCACCAGTTGGTGGTTTATCCCATGATGCGTGGCTCATAGGCATCCCAAGAGTTACCAACTGAGGATGTTGCAACCATCCACAGTAGCTATGGTTTTTTTGGTCTAATAGATTATGTAAACTAAAATCTATAAAACATATGACAAAATGATACAAAATGCTGGGAATTGCCATAGCTGCCTCTATGCTAATGGCAGGAGGTGGAGCGCATGGTGGCCTTGGGGCGGGCACAGGAGGTGGAGCTGGTGACCAAAAATCAAGGGCTGCTGCACTGTCGGCTGCTGAGCGGCTGAAGAAATGGAGTGATCATAGGGATCCACATGAAAATCATGGGGATGGCTCGAAATTTTATGGAAAGTGCTGATGTTCACCCCAAAATCGCTAGGATTGATGTGAATAACCTCCTAAAGATGGTTTTAGAATGTTTTATATAGAGGTTTTGACCCATTCCCACATCTGAAAAAACACGTGGAACTCTCCTTTTCCTGACGCCACTTCATCCAGGTATATTGAAAACTAGAAAAGCGAGAATTCGGTTTGGACTGGAAGATATGATAGATTATTTTCAGTGCCGTTTTGCTAGTCCATGCTAGTTTGTGAGGGTGTATGTAGGGGGGTTGCACTGATCGCATTGATGTGCTGGTTGGGCTGGGGATGTCAACGCTTCAGTCCCAGTCCCGGACTTGGTATCTGAGGTCTTGCCCTGGCCCAGCAGAAACAGGTTGCTTCACAGACGAAGGCTGGTGGGCGAGAGACTGCCTCAACCGTGGACGGTGATGTGTTCTTAAATGGTAGACTGCCAAACGCCGAGAGAGTAGAAAACATCACCTGAGCCGTAGCTGGGTTTATCTACAATATAGCCAATACAGGTATAATTGTTTAGGTTACCCCGTTCCATCCACTGTGAATAATCATTTCCAGATGATTCCATAGGTTCCCCATTAAAAGAGCCATTTAATGGCTGGCTATACTAGTTTCCCCCCTGTTCAGTTGCAAGCACAGGCAGCGAGCCTTCAGGTGGAGCTACAGAAGGCTGTTGGGAGGTCAAAAATGTTGACTCAAGGGCCACACTTGGTGATTCATGGATAGTTTTAAGATGTCTCTTGATGTACTCGTATTTCGTATATTTTAGTTTATCGATCATCCAAAGCTTTGAGGGGTGCCCAATGTCGATCCTGACCTGTAGATGAGAGGTGGTGCGAAACTAAAACCCACAGGAGCCAGTGTCATGTTGCATCGTCGTCCTCAGCAACACATACCGTCAGGTGGAGGCAGTGAAAACAGCTGTCAGCGGAGACCTCAGTGGGAGACAAAGTTCACGTGCCATCACCGTTGCAGACTTTTATCCTGGTCCTGGCTATGTTAGGTAGTTAGAGTCAAATTCATAGCGTTCTTTGCTAGCAGGATCGACGTGGTAGGAACACTGGCCCCTTGGAATTGAATGCACAGTCTCTCAACGGAAATTTCAAAGGTTGAGTCACACAGGTTTCCTTTATGTTTGTTGAAATTCACCTTGCTTGTCCTTAATACTGATAGGCGGTAGGTACAGAACAACAAAATCCTCAAGGGACATGTCCGACGCAGAATTCCCCATGACTTCCTTATTCCCTTGGCCCATTCTTGCAGCATCGCTTTGGCTAGACTAGGTCCAGAAGCTATTGAAGAAGGTTTGGGCCAGGAGGAAGTAGAGTATTGGAGGAGACAGAGTCGTTCCAGACGTGGTGATGATGCTTGTGGTCAAGGGAGCACGGAAATTTGTGTCCCGTATTTGAACCAAAATGGCATGGGTATAGATTGTGATATGATATTGAAGTTGCATGCCTGCAATTTTAAAACTCCATCCAAACACAGACTCTGGCTGCTGAAGCTTCGAAATCCGTAGCTGCAAGGCGCTTTCTCTTAGCAGGGAACTTGTTGAGTCACAAGAGATATCCAGGAGAAAGAAGCAAGACAAGGCCTTGGAGGTCCGCAGCGCAGTTGAGAATGCGATGACTTCATGACATTGCGGGCCAAAAACAGCACAGAAGCTGAACCAGAGATGAAGTAAATCATATACGATTGGCACCTTGCAGAATTGATCATAATATATCACAATTGTGTCTAGAAACCGTTACAAGATGTTGCAAGACATTTCGCAGGCCAAGTGTGCCAAGTCTTTCATCAGACTGGCCCTACTTTGATCCTGGTTCTGTCGGAAACCCGACAGGTGGAACGGCTCAGCCACGAAGAACGCCGTTTGAAAGCTTTGCTCTTACGCTCGGGCGCCGCAGATGTGACGGAGTACCTCTCCACAAGGTCCAGAAAGGGCAAGTGATCCTGCAGGCAGCTTGTACTTAACCAGCCTTTTGGACAAACAATGTTCGGATGACAGACGAGGTTACTTCATGAAGTGTTGATAGTTGTTGAATATACGGCATGTTTAGTCAGAGTGACCATTGCAGAAATATGAAAATTGAAACACTTGCGATGAGTGTCACTGCAAAATGAGACCGTTCTCGCAGCGGCTTGAAATGTTCGCAGGGGATGCGGCATGCTTGATGAGTCTATCAGTTGGTTTGCAACCTCCCTCTTCAAGTCTGCATTCATCCGCCGGGCTTTCTGCGCGGGGCCCAAGGACTGCCAAGCATGCAGCGGGTCCCAAACGCGCTCATAAGTTTTGGAATTTGGAGCCAAAATAGTGGTCAAGAGACACTTTAAACATCTTTGAACTGAGAAAGGGAACGGTCTTCTGTTGGGGCAGACTATCAGCCCTCACCGAACGGAGTGAAGAAACATATTTGTTTTTGACATCTGCAAAGGATCACAGCGGATTGATGCCTACCCAAGGTGTTCACCTTTTCGTGCTGTACAGCTGGATCGTTTTCCTTTTATGGTTCATTTCCAGCCGGACTCATGAAAAATGAAAGCAAAAATCTATTTGCTGGTGCAAATCAGGATGAAAGGGATCGGGTGACGGGTGGACCATTGTAGTAAATTGATTAGATATGTCCAACAAAATTCAATTGTATATATATTATATATATATATATATTCAAAAGTAACATATTTATTCTAAATATTCAAATGTCGAATATATAATGACAGAATAAAACAATATTTTGCAGATATTATGTGTTTATAAATCGAAGATTTTTTTAGTTAATTTTAGTTAATGTTCTAGAATATTATATATATATATGTATATGGAATGATTATATTTCTATATATTTCTTGACAATTGATGTGTTAATAAAATGGGCTAGCGCCCAGGTGCCGCCGACCCCCCTAATTGGAGGGGGGGTACTGTAGAGAGACAGAGGGAGACGGACAGCAAGACAGACATATGGCCGTTTGCTTCTCAAGCAGCGAGAAGTTGCACCCTGCGGCCAAATGGACACGGATCAGCTTGAACTCCGCCAGGTGCGCAAGGGTGAGGCAGTGGCTGTGTTGGCTACCTGACAGCTTGTTGATGATTAATCATTTTATGATGAGGGGTCATCAATGGTAATGATATATCCACATACAATAAGATATGGTCAAAGCAATCAACCTGGGGAGTATGATGTAGCACATGATCCCACATATATATATATACACATAATATGTACATATATATATATATGTACATATATATATATATGCGTATGTTCCGGTGGCATGTTGGATTGGATTAATACGTGTTCCGCTGAAGGTCTAGTCGAGAATGTTAGGGATTATGTGAGTCAGTTGACGTGCATCCCAGGGAATTGGTGTTTTTTGGCGCCGTTGGGTTAGGATGAAGTGATTTTTAAGTTTGGAACAAACTATAACAAGTGGGCCATTCCTGATGGCTATGGTAAAGGACTGGAGGGTACCGACGTGTTTTGCAAAGTCGTGGTTTGGCTTTTGGACATGTGACACCCCATAGAAACTGTTGCTGTTTTCAATCGGAACGGATGAGATTCTTCCCTGGGATTGAAACGGACGGTGGAGAAACGACAGAATTTTTAAAGTGCTTTCCAATTGCGAAGCCAAGATGGGTCCTGCAGCACACTTGCTAGTGAACGAGACCTCATTGTCAAGTACAAGCAACGAACATGGGCAGGCAGATCACGGAGCGGCGTGAGGAAAAGAATTGGTCAGCATTGAGAGAGGAAAGTGTTATCACAAGACATCATCTTTGCTAGGTGGTATTATTGCCAACTTGGTCTATGCGGGCCGGAACATGGTGCGTGCTCGCGTGAATATCGTGGCCCGTGCTGAGCGGCTGGGGGACGAGGAGCTTAGCTCAACCCACCGGCCTGCGATGCGGCTGTTGGATATTTCCATGGGTCGCCACGGTCATGCAGCTAGATTGCATCGGAAGCGTGGATGATTTTTCGGGCCGAGATTGCAGAAAGGCGAAGCCAAGTTCGCCGCGGCAAAAGCAGATGACGCAAGCGTGCGCTTGCTCCCAGGTGTGGACTTCCGACGGAGAGAAACAGAGACTGGCGAGAAGAAAGTTTTCTTCGACAGCAGCGCTGGTGGGGAGTTGCAGCACGGTTGGTATTTGCGTCGGCGCTTGCGGCCTCTGTGCCCGCATTTAGCAAATGCACCGGTCCCAAGCAAATGGGGTGAGGAACCAGAACGAAATGCAAAGTTAACTCTAGCATATTTCAAAGCATGGACTTTGAACAAAAATCGTGGGAGCGCAGAAGTTCCGCACTTGCATCGCTTCCGGCGGGAAAATGCAACCTGGGAGCAAAGTCTACGGGAATGGCTACTGCAGTTGCCGTGCGAAGAAACCAAAAGATACGTGGGAAATTTCTTGTCAGTGTATCGCGTTCGTCCGGAAAACGAAGGGGACAACAGTGATGACCCAATAGACTGGCTAAGACAAAAAATTGTCTAATCCCTATTCTGTAGAAATCTGACTATTAGGTAGATTTTTTTTGTCTAAGACAACTTTTTTTTTGTCTAAGACAAATTTTGAAAATTTGTCTTAGACAAAAAAAAGTTGTCTTAGACAAAAAAATATTTGTCTTAGACAAGTTTTTTTGTCTTAGACAAATTGAAACTACATCAGATTTTTTCAAACTGCCTCAAAACTGCCTCCAAAACTGCCTCCAAACTACCTTATCATTTTTCCATCAGTTTGTGGAGGGTGTGCAAAAAGTAAGAGAAATAGTGAGGCAGTTTCCCCAAAAATCCCCAAAAAAGTGAGGAAGTTTCCCTTTAAAGCATGAGGTAGTTTGAAGGCAGTTTCACAAAACACACGAGGAAATTTCCAGGAAATTTCCTCGAAACTTCCTCGTGGAGGGTGGGCAAAAATCTGACTTAGACAAATTTTATTTGTCTAAGACTCGTGTCTTAGACAAATCTGTCGAGCAAAAATTTGTCTAAGACAAATTTTTAAAATTTGTCTATTAGACAAATTTTAAAAATCTAACTATTAGACAATTTTTTGTCTTAGCCAGTCTATTGGGGATGAAGATGACAAGGAGGACTTAGTGGTAACAGCAGACGAGTTAGCGGAAGCCTGTGACACGCATGTGCCAGCGGCCGAAGAAGGCACAAAGAAGGGCAAATGGTCAGTGCACCGCAGCCTCATCGTGGATGCCATAGAACGGGCGAAGACGCAGTGGCAAACGATCCCGTGTGAACCCTGCGCGTTGCCAAACCCATGCCAAGGCTTGGACAGCAAGAAGCTCCTGAGAAGCGTGCGATGCAAGGCGCAGCCGGTCAGCTGTGAGCAAGACAATGTCATGCGGGAACCGGAGGTGCAAAAAGAAAGTGTCAATATAACAGCAATGAAAAATAATGTCAACGAATGGGTCGGGGAGGTCGCGGAAAATGGATGCAATGCGAAACAAACCGAAGTTTGCAGAAAGGTTGCAGGCCAAGTCATGCAGGAGATGTGCCTTGAAAGCTGTGGGGCACCAGAGCCGTTGCGGTGGGCCGTGCACGGCGGACCGGGGACAGGGAAATCGTATGTGTTGAATCGTATCCGGAAAGAGTTGTTTGAAGAAATTTTGGGTTGGAAGCAAGGTGCCGAATTCCAAGTTGTCACGCTGCAAGCGGTTATGGCCAATGACTTGAAAGGCGACACGATCCACCACGCGTTTGGTTTGAACTGGCAAGGCCTCGGCGATGAGCGCATCAGCGGGCACAAGCTGCTCGAGTTGAGCGCCAGAGCGTTACGGTGGCGATGGCTCATCATTGACGAGATCAGCATGGTTAGCGCTGAGCTTTTGGCTCGGTTAGAGTTGCGTTGTCGGGAGTTGGTCCGTGATCTCGCCCAAAGCAAGTACGCAATGGACGCGCAATGTGCTCGGCCCTTTGGAGGGTTGAACGTTATTCTGGCAGGTGATATGTGGCAGCTGCCACCGCCACGTGGCACTTTTTTGGGGGATGTCCCGTGGGAATGGTTGACGCAGTGCAAATCGAAGAAAGTAGCTCATACCATCCATGGGCAAGAGTTAATCTGGGGCAAGGACCAGGACGGAATCCATGGCGTGACAGAACTGGTCGAGTGCAAGCGCACCCAAGATATGTGGTTGCAGAGTCTACAGAACGAAGTACGAAACGGCGCGTTGTCAGAGGCGAACCATGCATTCTTGCGTGGCTTTGCTACGGCCGTACCTGGAAGCTGGAACGCACAGACACTAGAATGCAACCAAGCCAGATGCCAAAAGTTGCACGAGGAAAAAGCAGCGCCAGAAGCAATCCTTCGTTTTGAATGCAATGTGTGCAAACGTGAGCGCCAGTCCAAGGCCAGAGTTGCAGACGGACCCATCGACGCCGCTGGAAAGTTTTCGGGGGCAAAAACTATTTTCGCCACAAATGCCGTGAAGTATCATGTGAATAAACTGCGAGCCAAAGCTTGGGCTGCAGAAACAGGACAGGTGCTGCACCATGCCATTGCAAAAGACAGGATATCAAGTGCGGCTTTGCGCGAAAAGCCAGATTTGGGGAAAGAAAAATTGACATGGCTGCAGCGACATGATCAGGATTGTGGATCCTTGTATGGTGTTTTGCCGCTGTGCATTGGTATGCCTGTGGCTGCGGCAGATCATTTGGATCGCAGCCGTGGAATTTTGCGTGGGTGTGCTGGGGAGATCGTTGGCTGGGTCTGGCCGGCTGATGCCGTTGGAGGGGCAAGCCAAGAAGCAAAGAAGATTTGGAACGAGTTGCCAGCGTGCATCTTGGTCCGGTTCAAGACAAAGACAACTTGGCGTGTCCAAGGGATTGATGAAGACAATGTTTTTCCAGTAGCACCGCAAAAAAAGCCGTGGTACTTGGACAAGGGGCGGAAGCGGCCAGTACTCCGTGTCACGCGGAAGCAGTTTCCGTTGGCGCCGGGGTTTGCCACGACCGCCCACGCAGCCCAGGGGCAAACTTGCAAAGAAGGCGTCATCATGGACATGCACATTGGCGAAGCAGGCGATCCATTGACGGCGTACATTGCATTAACGCGTGTTCAGGACAGGCATGGGTTGTTCGTGTACAGACCCTTCCCTGCAGCACCGTTTCAAAGAGGGGCAAAAGTAGGGCGGGAATTGCTGTTGCGGTTCTGGGGTGGCGAAAGATTGGACTGGAGCGCGCTGCGCGCGAAGTACCGGGACGAAAGAGAATGCAAAGAATGCAGCGAAGCAAAGCCGATGTCTGCATTCACAGCAGGTCGATGGAAACGCGCGGATGCGGGGAGAGTCTGCAAAGAATGCATTCGTCGCCACGTTGAAGCGCAGCAGCCCTGGCAATGCATGGCATGCACGGCGTGGAAACAGGAAGATGCCTTCATGGCAAAACATGCAAGGCCACAAGCCACATTTTACCGTATTTGCACGACGTGCGAACAGACACAAGTGTGCAGTGTCTGCAAAACGCGCAAGGATGAAAAGAAATTTTCGGCCGCGACGTGGAAACGGGCACGCCATGGTGGCAGAGTGTGCTTGGATTGTTCGAGTAAAGCATGGGGCTGGTGGAGA